AACCTTCAAGAGAATGACTAACATCTAGAAAGTAAGCTCATTGTATTCACTCTGTTCTCGTCTACAGCTTATTTGACCCAGGTCACCAAACTAGTGAGTAGAATATGCAGAGATCCAAGACCAGGGCTATTTGACTTCAAGGGTTGAATGAGCTTCCAACCATCACCTCCTACTGCACCTTGAATAGGTCATCTGGCTCTTTACTGGGGATCTCTTGGTGAACTAACCTGTAGTTCATTTTATCTTTTTTTTTTGTATCCTGTAGATTTAAGACTGTTATTCCACAGCAGATTAAAATCAGGTATAACATTTGGAGCAGCCTAATATTAGTCTAGGATACGGGTAATATAAACTAAAAATGGCAATTTATTTATTTAAAATGTGCACTGTAACTGTCAGGAGGTGCAGAAAGTTCACTTCAGGATGACTAGTGTCTTTTTCCGCTGTAGGCAGGTTTCTGTGGGAAAGCGAGTTATTATCGGCAGGCTGTGTGGTGAGCATGGAAGTGGAGCTGGGGGAATTAGTTATACTGTAATCGCTTGATTGTTGAATGATCTCAGATCACTAAAGGGAATCTCTATTTTCATTCTTTGCCGCCTGCACACATGTGCTCTTATTTTTATCTTAAAAAGAGGCCTCCTTGTGAAATCGTCATTTGGCTAGGACCGTCTCCCCCCAGTGTTGTTTAAGTAGCTTTTCCAACTTGAATGTCGTGTTATCTCGCTTATCCCAAGGTGTGCGTAACGAAATGCCTTATTCCCCCGCCTCCCTTACAAACTGTTTTCTTTTGCCTAGAAGAATTCGTTTCTGTGACCAAGATTCAAAGCTAAAGTTGAGATGGAAAGACAATGACTTCCTCATGGAAGTGTAATTTTCAATCTTTAAAAAAATTGCTAAATGCATTTAAAAAGAAGCTAGTCTATGTAAAGCTCCTCGCTATTATTTGTTATATACTGTATTTCTCTCTTCCTGTTTTTCCTTCATTTCTTTTATAAAAGTACCCAAGAAGTTTCAGGCAAGAAAGCTACTATTTTAATCTCTTACATAAGATGAAGCCAAGGATAAGCTAGGAGCCATCTAGAAGATTTCCTTGAACCATTTCCTTTGCTTAGTCTAGTGTCTAGACTAATCTTAGGCTTCTTTGGGGTGATTTAACAGAAGGGAGGATGTATCCATGAAAGTATTGCTTGCTTTAATGTCAATTTCCTCTTCAAGATCTCGATTGCACTTTCGTAAACCTTTTTCTCTTACCTGCTTTGGTTCACTCTATCTCCCTAGACCTGCGCGGATCCCCAACTTCAACAAAAGATGACTTTTGCTTCACTTCAACATCCTTCAGAAGTGAAGCAGGTGGCTGCCCGGCCTTTTGGTGAGTTGACGAGAAAACAGAAAAACAAGAGTTGACTTCCTCCGAGGGAGACTAGCAGCTGCTACCTTCGGATGAGAAGCTCCTCCATCCAATATTCCCAAAGGATCATTGCTCCCTACAAATGGATTTAACATGCCAATTCTTAAGTTTGGGATGGACGTACAGCTTTGTGAGTAAAAGCATTAGGATTGGTTTTGAAATAGAGACCATTTGACACAAACCAAAATGACTAACATGAAAAAATGGATTCGTTTAATATCTAAGGGATTTCCAAACCACTTTGGAAAGTGGTATTAGGGAAATTGAGAGTTAAGCGCCATCTGGATGCTTTAAAAATAATTTTAGGAAGGATATGGTATTGTTTGGTGTTAGGTTGTCAGTTACAAAAATGAGAAGTCCTTTCAGGAAGAGCTAAAAAAACGAGAGAGGGCAGAAGTTAAACGGACAGTTTGTCTTCAGCTATCTTTCTGTTACGCAAATATATGCAGATTTATCTTTTGTATTGGCTATCTGCTAATGTCAATCTTTCAAATTGATCTAGTAAGCAGAGGAGGACAGAGGTAAGCTTGTCAGGGCCAGTATTCTTTATAAACCACTTGAGAGATTGCATTTCTTTGTCCTGCCTGAATTTTCATTGCCATCTGTCAGAGGGTAGAGTTCCTTTTGCCATCTTGCTTAAAGAACGGCTCTTCCCTGTCCCCTGCTCCGGGGACTCGGAGCCCAGGAAAACAGTACACGTTGACGGTGTCCCCAGAGAGAATTTTCAAGCCCTAACAAGTTGGTTTAGAATTTGCTGATGAGCTTTTCTCCTCGGGCCAGATGGGGCCACCAGATGCAGATGCCCTTAGCACAGAATCCACACCTTCTCCTGTTCTTGCAGTCGTGCATGTTATTGACGGACAAAGAAGGCTCTTAATGGATGAAGCCCTTCACTTGGTCACATATCACGTTCTGTTTCACAGGAAGACCTGATCTCAAAACATCTTGGTGGATCTTCTTTTTTTTTTTTAAATCATTTTATTGGGGGCTCCTACAGCTCTGATCACAATCCATCCATCCATCCATTGTGTCAAGCACATTTGTACATTTGATGCCCTCATCATTCTCAAAACATCTGCTTTCAACTTGAGCCCTTGGCATCAGCTCCTCATTTTCACCCCCTCCCTGCAACTCCCTCACGAATCCTTGATAATTTATAAATGATTAATATTTTGTCATGTCTTACACTGTCTGAGATCTCCCTTCACCCACTTTTCTGCTGTCCATCCCCCAGCGAAGGGGTTATTTGTAGATCCTTGTGATCAGTTCCCTCTTTCTACTCCACCCTCCTTCCAACCTCCCGGTATCGCCACTCCCACCTCTGGTCCTGACGGGGTCATCTGTCTGGATTCCCCGTTATGTGGATCTTCTTTTCTACCTGCAGTGCTTTCTGATGGGCTCTCTCCTGCTCTCCAGTTTGCTTGCAGCACATTACAGCAAGAGGGAGGGAACAGCCAAGAACAGGATGACTGCCACAGCTTGGGAAGGCAGATCGAAGCTGTTATGCCACTGGGGGGTGGGCTCTGGGAAGGGACACTTGCTCAAAGGGAAGTGGCTTCTAGAGTCTGGATACCTTTGCTCCATACTTTGTAGCTATTGATGATGTTCTTCATGTTTTTTTTCTCCATTCTTTTAGTGTTTATCAAGCATCACTATGTACGGAGCATTTGTTAGATATTTTAGATACAAATATAAGCCAGGTAGATATGATCCCTGCTTGGTGGTCTAATGGGAAGAGAACCAATGAACTAGGTAATATATTCTAGGGTGATAGAAGTTCTCTGGATTGGGCCGTACAAGGCTCTAGGGGACTTCTATCCCTCATTGCAGGGGCGGTGATCAGGGAATGTCTCTGGGAGAAAGTAGTGTCAGTTAACAGAAAGATGACTAGGATCTAGTCGGGTGAAGGGGTTGGAAGTAAGGCTAGAATCTGCTTGGATCCAGTATTTCTGTGGTGTAGGTTTGAAGGTGTGCAAGGAGTGGTGGGTGCCATGAAGGCGTGCCGAGAAACCTGGCTAGAGAGGTGAGCAGGATCAAGTGCATGACTGGACAATAGCTCAGTATATTATGCATAAGGTTGGCGTAAGTCAGAGCTGGTAATGAACGATAGCTGGTTGTTGGAGGTCATCACTTTTGTTAAGGCAATGGGAGGTGCTGATCGGGTATTAAGGAGTGGCGGGACAAGATGTCACTGAACTTTGTAAAGAGGACTCTTCAAGGCTGGCTTTGGAGCAAGAATGCAGGAGAAAAACAATCCCTGTTCAGTAGACAGTTCTCAGCTGCAAACTGCTGTCAAAGACCAGGCAGGGGGAAGTGGGAGAGGGTAGTGGGAGTGGTGGAGGGGAGAAGGTGTGGCGGTGGCCGGGCTTATCTGGTTAAATTGAAATCTGATAAGTCTCTTACGGTATCAGTGACTTCTTAGTAGGATAAATACATGATTCATGAGAGGCTGAAAAATATTAACCTTATGCATTTTTTTTTCCTGTGTCTTATGTAGGCCTGGTGAAAAATAGTCTGGGGCAATAATGTTCTGCAGTAAAAAGAAACCACTTGGTAAGTAGTGAACTCTTCAGATGATTTAAAGTAAATATTATTTAAAAATTTACTTTGATTTTTTTATGGAGGACTTTTACATAGACAATAAAGTGCATATATATTAAGTGTTCAGTTTGATGAGTTTTGCTGGCATGGATATATAGACCACTGCAGAACATGATCTAGAACATTTATATTTCCCCAGTAAGTCCCCTTGTGCCCATGTCCTCTCAGACTCCTGTATCCCTGTATAACCATCTTCTGATTTCTGTCAGGTTGTTTCTGCCTGTTTTGGAAATGAATCTAAATGGAGCCATATTGTATGCATATGTATTCTCTTATCTCTCTTCTATTGCAGAACGTTTTTGACATACGCCCATGTGATTGTGTGAATTGGTAGTGGGTTTTCTTTTCCTTCCCCTTTTTTATCTCAAAGCTATATTCCGTTGTATGACTATCCTAAGATTTAAAAAATAGATGCTACAATTTTGGTTTCTGATGGCAAGAAAGACGCTTTGTTGTTTTGGTTACGTGACTGGTCTGTTGCTGTGAGTTGCTGCCAAGTTGATTCCGATGTAGGGTGACCCCAGGGGTACAGAGGAGAACTGTGCCATTCGGGCTGTGAGGTCGTGACCTTTCCGAAGCACATCGTCAGCTTCCTTCCCAGGCACCTCTGATCTCTCGGGTGGCTTCCAACCACGAACCTTTAGGTTTGCAGTTAAGCACTTAGCCATGGGCCCACCTAGGGAAGCCTAAAGAAGTGATCTCAAACGCCAAGCTCACTGCCATGGAGTCAATGAGTCAATAATATTCAAGTTTAAAAGCATGGTGCCTCCTGCAGAGAGAGCTGATTTTCTTCATCTCCAGTTAGTCAGACGATTCTGCGGTTTCTCTTTCTTTTTTCAATCATTTTATTGGGGGCTCGTACAATTCTTATCACAATCCATCCATCCATCCATCCATTGTGTCAAGCACATTTGTACATTTGTTGCCCTCATCATTCTCAAAACATTTGCTTTCTACTTGAGCCCTTAATATCAGCTCCTCATTTGTCCCCCTCCCTCCCCACTCCCCGCTCCCTCATGAACCCTTCATAATTCATAAATTATTATTATCTTGTCATATCTTACACTGTCTGGCGTCTCCCTCTGCCCTCTTCTCTGCTTTCCATCCCCCAGGGAGGAGGCTATACATAGATTCTCGTAATCAGTTCCCCCCTTCTACCGCATATTCCCTCTACCCTCCAGGCATCGCCACTCTCACCACTGGTCCTGAAAGGGTCATCTGACCTGGATTCCCTGTGATTCCAGTTCCTATCTGTAGGCATGTACCCAGTCTTCTTTACTTTGGACCTTAGGCTCTTGAGGCACTGAAGACTAGATTAGAATTTATCAAAATATTCTTGTCCTGCCTCCTGATAACCCCTCTGACAGGCGGGGACCCTGCGCAGGCAGGCAATCATTTCTTGATGCATTCACTCACTGCAACATTCAGTTTCATAATGAGCTGAAATCAGCCCCAATGTACTTCCCACTGATAGAACATTAGTTCTGCCCTCTGGGGCCATGCTTTCTTATCCCCACTGTCAGCCTAAGAGGCTACGATTATGATTATGATTTCTTTCTTCTTAAAATCGATGACTTATTTAGACTCAAATCACTGGGATCATCTCGATGTGTAAACAGAAGATTTCAAAGCAAAACCAGCAACAAACCCAACCAAACTCATGGCCATTGATTCCTGGAGACCTTTTAGAACAGGGCAGAACTCCTCCGTGGGTCCCCACGACTAACTGTTTACGGGAGTAGAAAGCCTCGTCTTTCTCCAGAGGCGTGGCTAGTGGTCCTGAGCTATGGACCTTCTTGATAGCAGCGCACCCTGAAACCACTATGCCACCTGGGCTCATAACATACAACCCCCCCCAGCTTTAAAAGGGACAGTTTCCAATGAAAGACAGGGTTTTGAGTTAAAACAATGATCTGAGATCCAGGTTCCACACTTTTAGAGTATGTATGAATGTGTATGTGTAAAACAGGCAGTTTTATCTAAGTAGGAATAAGAAAACAGGCATCATGTCACTGAAATCCTGCAAAGTGAAGACGGTCCCTTGTTTCACGGTTTTAGAGGGCGCTATCCCCATGTCCTCTGGTACGAACATTTCTCTTGTGTTTTCATCTGAGGCTATAGGCCCAAATGGAAGGCCTGTGCCTTGTTAAATGTACTTTTGACACTTACTACAAGCACAGATGCTATTTTTAGATCTTCAGACATTTCTCCATATAACATTACTGAACAATGTTCCCTCCCCAAGTTTTGTTTTGAAAATTTTAACTTTTACAACAATACAAAGAGATTCAATGAACACCTATGTCCCCTTCATCTAAATTGTCCATTTGTGCTGCCTGGTCTTCTTCTCTTCCTCTTTGCGTGCGTGTGTGCTGTTTGGAAAGAGGAGGAGGAGACAATGTAAAGGCAGTGAAGAAACGTTAACAGCTGCACAATTTAGAGGAAGGCTTGATACGTGTTCGTTGTATCTTTTTATTTTTGTATAGAGTTGGGGTAAATATCTTGGGCACAAATACTATTCAGATGATATTTGATTTTTAGTGGACCATTAGCCAAGTGGTTCATTGGCAGTTTCATAATGAGGAATGCAATGTACTGACCCCCCTTATACAGAATTTGACTTTGTAGACACTATTCCCTGCTGTGTAATGAGGCTGGCTGCTTTGACCATGAGGCCCTGTACGAATCTGTTCCTTACTACGGACTCAAAGAGGGAGCACAGCCCAGTCCCTTCCTCTGAACTGGTTATAATGTCACAGGACTGACATTTGTGTCATTATCATTTGCTTCATCATGATGAGGAATGTTTTCATCACCATCAGTTCCTGTGGCTGAGTTCCTGAGAGATGCTCTGACCTAAAATACTCATTCATTAATTCTACTGCCAACAAATAATTTTGAGCATCTATGACAGGACCCGGGGTGGCAAAACCTGGGTTTGCCCTCAGCTGCTCAATGCAAGGTGGGAGGTTTCAACCCACCTACTAGTGCTGCAGAGTACAGGTCTGATGATCTGCTTCTATGAAGGTGAAAGAACCCCCAAGCCGAATTTATTATCCATCAGTTAATTCTGACCTAGTCGTGACCCTACAGGAGGACAAGGTAGCACTGCCCCCAAAGGATTTCTAAGGCTCTGAGCGTTTCTCAGAGGTCTGCACAAGACCTTTTCAGAGCATTGAAAAGCAAGGCTGGTCCTTTGAAGACTAAGGCGCACCTGACCCTTGCAGGTCATGGTATTTTTAACCACCTCATTGGCATGTGAAAGTTGGACACTGGATAAAGAAGGCCTAGGAAGAAGGGCTGCATTTGCATTGTGGAGCTGGTAAAGACTACTGAGAGTACCCTGGGCTGCCCAAAGGACAAAAGGATCTGTCTTGGAAGAAGTACAGCCAGAGTGCTCCTCAGAGGCAAGGACGCCAAGACTTCATCTCACATCCTTTTAACATGTTGTCAGGAGAGTCCAGTTCCTGGCTAAGGTCATCATGCTTGGTAAAGTGGAGGGACAGTGAAGGAGGGGAATTCACTCAAGAGTTGGGTTGACACAGTGGCTGCACCCATGGGCTGAAGCACAGGGACAGCCGTGAAGATGGCAGAGGACCAGGCGATGTTTCGTTCTTTTGTGCATAGGGTTGCAATGGGTCAGCCCCGACTCGATGGCACCTAACAGCAGCAGCAGCAGCAGCAGCAACAACAACAACAACAAAGTGTCTCTAGAAGCAGACTGTCACAGAGCGGCTGATGGTTTCAAACTGCCAACCTTTAGGTTAGCAGCAGGGTGCTTTCACCCCTGCATCACAGAGGCTCCTGCTACAAAAAGAATAGCCGAGAGAAGCCTGGGCTGCTTGAACGCATATGCAGTGGTGGCATTTTGCCTCATTAGAATATGTTTAACAATGGCAGCATTTACATTTCTATAAATGGTCCCAGAGTCGTTAGGAATCTTAGGGCATTGAGGATGTTTATGAGCACATAACAAGCCAGTCATGAGTGACATGGGAAAATAATAACTAGCTCCCAAACACGCTGTATTTGCCATTATCTCCATAATCCCCTAGAATTCCCTCTTCTTTCAGATGTGGATGGTGCCTTCTAATTGACCAAATATTGAAAGATTAGGATGGCAGTCTATGTCTTTCTGTTTGTCCTTTGTTATTTGCCCTGCTGAATAGCTTCGATGGGAGGTCCAAAGACAAAGTGCATTGAAACATTCGTGGGCTATTGTACAAAGCAACGAGGAGGAGCCTTGTTCGCGAGTGAAATACCTCATGCAGGCCTCATGTAGTTTGGGGATATGGGAAGCAGAAATTGTTAGTAATGGTAGGTTTTGTTTAAATGAACTCAAGCTGTTCTTGATCCCCTAATGTGGAGGCTGTGCAGGCGGCACTCATTACGCCACCAGGAAGCCTTTAGTGTACTTGGCGTGGGGTGTGTGTGTGTGTGTTGGGGGGCAGAATGGATGGGGGCTGCAGCATGGGCTTTGTCACTTGAGCCTTCTTGGGGCCCATTCCTCCATAAAAAATATTGAACGTGAAAGTATTTTACAACTGTGTTGTCACAAACAACAATAAAATACAGGCTAGAATCATTATAACATAATTTTTATTCTGGTTCTGAAATGAATATTTTTGTAGTCTTAGAAAAGTCTGTAGGCCCTAAGCACGGTGCATCATGGATAAGTCCAGCTCTGAATCGGACACCTTGAGCGGCCCAGCGGCCACCAAGAAAGCAACTGTGTACGTCCTGGGGAGAAGGGTGGGATAGCATCTTCGTTCCTTGTGTGTGCTTGTGAACCTACACAGAGGAGGTAGTTAAGGATGCCGAGGCCTTAAGCCAATACAAAAGAGAGAGCCAAGTAGGATAGGAAATATGTAGAAAGAGACAGAAAACCCCAACAAATCCCAACTCTTGAAAAGCCAAGAAATATCACCAACATCACAAAATCTATGAAAATA